GACCTGGGGTCCCCACCATACCACTGAGACAACAGTTGCTGAGCATAGTTAATCCAAGATCATCCAGCGAGCAGCAGTAGAGCTAAGATCTGATTCCACTTAATCTAGGCTCCTAAATATATATATATATGTTTTTTTCTATTGCCACATGCCCAGCGGCCTCCCTGTGTCATGGAGGTCGTGGGTGCAGCTTGTGGGGTCAGGTTGCCGGGTTTCTATTCCAGCTCCTCTATTTAAATAGCTCGGTGATCCCAGGTCAGTTCCTGATCCTCCTCTGTAAAATGGGAATAATTTTTTCACCTTTCCCATAGATTTTCCTGGAGGATTAAAGGGAGAATGTGTCTAAAGCTCTGAGCACACGTGCCTGGCATGTGAGTGCTCCTTGAATGTTAGTTACTGTGATGATTATTAGCCCAGCAGGACAGGGAGGAGTGTTAGGTCCCTGGGGCGCGATCACTCCTCTGTTTACTCCTCAGATTGTCCCGGCCTGGCAGGCATTCATGAGTTTGTTTTTCCTGTCCCAAGGTTGCCCCTGTGCTCTGCAGTGACCGGCAGGGCTGAGATGATTATACAACCTGCACTCTCGGCCAAGTCCGGCACTGGTCCTGGCTGTTGACTAAGCCTGTGCTGCTGTGGGTGAGGGAATCACTCCTCTCCAGCTGGCTTTCTCACGCTGGAGAAGCCTGACCTTTATTCTGAATCATCCTCCAGCACCTGCATCACACAGCACCCTGGCTCACCCGCCCCTCCCCCAACATGTCCTTTACATTCTCCTCTGGGGACATAATGGGGCTCCAGTGTCCCCAAGACAGCTGCTTCTCCCTTCTTCTTCATTCTTGATAACTCTCTGTTCTCCAGAGGTGCTGCTTAGACTCTAGAGGGATACATGAAAGGGCGGTAAGGTGACAAAGAAAACAGCTGGGTTCAATCCTGGCTGCATACTCAGTGTGGGACAGAACAACTGCTCTACCTTTAAAGTTATATATCAGGATAATATACAGTATTTCATTTATATATACACGCATTTATAGTAAGTAATAAATTTTTGTAAAGTTGTGAGGATGGTAAAAGCTTAGCCCAGTGCCTGGCACCCACAGGTGCCAGCTGGCATCATTAGCAGTCATAGGAAAACTCAGGGTATGTCTCCATTCCAGGCTTTGTGGCCTGTGGGTCTCAGTGTCCCCGTTGTCCTGTGGGGTTGCTGAAAGCTGTCCTCATAAGGTTGTGAGGGTGGGAATATGAGAGGAGTTTGAGAAAGCCGAAGCCCACCAGGTCAACAATTGGACTGAGCTCTCCCCTTGTCCTCTGGGCCGTGTGCAAGCTTTGGGCCTGGTGGTGACACCTACCCCTCCATCCCACCGGGCGGACCCAGCTGACCCTCCCAGTGCAGGGGCTGGGAAGCTGCAAAGAACCCTTAAGCTCAGAATTTCCAGCTGTCAGCAAGTCCCCCTGCCGTGTCTCATTTATTTTTCTCTATCTCCTTTTCCATCTCCCCTTCCAGCACCTTCTGAAACGCTCTAGTCTTGTACTACCAACACACCAACCTTTGCTTAATTGTCACATCAGACAGATGGCCCAGGTGTCTCCAACTCCCTGAAGCTCTTCCTTTCCCCTCCCCTGGGCAGGGGCCTCAGGCCTTCCTCTGACTGATCCAGCCCACCTCCCAGTGTCCATACTATTAGGTTGGTGCAAAAGTAATTGCGGTTTTTGCCATTAAAGGTAATGGCAAAAACCGCAATTACTTTTGCACCAACCTAGTGACTTTTGCACAGCCAAGAGATCTCCTGCCATCTACTCAGTCTTCCCTCCGGCTTTCTGGGGCTTTATTTTTTCTGTTCTTTCTGTTTCTTGCTGCCCGCGGTGCCCCCACCTCCTGTGGCTGAAATGCTGCCCTCTCCTATCCTGCCCAGATGCCTCTTCCACCAAGCTTTTCTGACTGCCACATCTGGAATAATACTTGTATGCCACTTTAAGATCTCTCTTTCTTTTTTGATCTTTTCATTTTTTTTTTTTTTTTCTATTTTGGTTATTTGCTGCCATGTTCCTTAAGGAAAAGAGTCTACCCTCACAATGACTAAGCAGCTTGGATCATGGAAACAGCTTGGGCTTCTCTCCACGCTTCTGTTCTCCCATCAGTAAAATGGGGATAAGCATTGTAAATAACCAGCCCTCTTAAGAGTTTCTGTAAGGCTTGGCTGGGTACAGTGGCTCACGCCTATAATCCCAGCACTTTGGGAGGCCAAGGCGGGCAGATCACCTGAGGTCAGGAGTTCAAGATGAGCCTGGCCAACATGAAGAAACCCCATCTCTACTAAAAATACAAAAATTAACCAGACATGGTGGCAGGCACTTGTAATCCCAGCTACTCCAGAGGCTGAGACAGGAGAATCGCTTGAATCCAGCAGGCGGAGGTTGCAGTGAGCTGAGATCGTGCCATTGAACTCCAGCCTGTGGGACAAGAGCAAGACTTCAACTCAAAAAAAAGAGTTGTTGTAAGGCTTGAAGGAGGCCTTTGGCATGAATATCACCTGCCTCAGGGCTCTGCACATTTTTTTCTTTTTTTGAGACAGAGTCTGGCCCTGTCACCCAGGCTGGAGTGCTACGGCATCGTCTCGGCTCACTGCAACCTCTGCCTCCCAGGTTCAAGCGATTCTCCTGCCTCAGCCTCCTAAGTAACTGGGATTACAGTCGCGCACCACCATGCCCAGTTAATTTTTGTATTTTTAGTAGGGACGGGATTTCACCATGTTGGCCAAAGTGGTCTCAAACTTCTGACCTCAGGTGATCTGCCTGCCTTGGCCTCCCAAAGTGCTGGGATTACAGGTGTGAGCCACTGCGCCCTGCCAGCTCTGCACATTTTGAGGAACCAATGAATAAATGATTGAATGATTGAATGGATAAAGGCCTTTACTGTTCTACTTGAAGTTGTCAAAATGGATAGGTTTTTGCTATAGCCCTCACCACCCCTCCTAATGCTACATCAGCAGCATGGCATATGCACCTGCAAACCCAGACTCTGCATCAGGTTGCCAGGTCACATAAATGACAGCTGTGAATTCTTCTAGAACGGGGTCAGCAAACTATGATCCACAAGTTAAATGCAGCCTACTGCCTGTTTTTGTACAGTTTGCACACTAACCATCCTTAAATGGTTGCTACATTTTAAAATGGTTTTTACATAGAAAATGTTACATTTTTCAATGTAAATGTAAATTAAATGCAAATAGAAACATTTACATTTTTACATGTTTAAATTAAAAAATCACAGGAAGTATAATTTTATAGCATGAAAATTATACGAAAATCTAACATTAGCATTTATAAATAAAGTTTTATTGGCACACAGCTATGCTCATTCATTTATGTATTATCTACACAAGCTATAGTTGGTGTGTGCAGAGCTTTCACTCAATGATGGCACAGTTGAGTAGTTTCAACAGAGATAGGATGGCCCACAAAACCAAAATATTTACTACTTGGCCCATTACAAAAACATTTTGTGCTGATCCTTGGTCTATGAAACAGGAGCAATGACGAATACCTGCCCATCGTGTGTGGGTAAAATGTTAACATGCTTGATATCTAGTGGGCACTCAAGAAAGGTTTTTTCTTCTACTCTGTGTTCCTCCTTGTCTTCATTCCCTTTCACAGAGCGCTCTTTTATTTCGGGGTCCAAGCCATGTAAAACCGTAAGAAAAAGGATAGCAGGGAGACTCTGAACCACTGCCATGCCCATACCCAGCCTCAAAGCAGCAGAAATGTGTTTGTCAGCTCCACCTTCCTGCTCCAGAGCCTCCCCCAGACCTCTCAGTCTATGGGACTGTTGGTGGACAGGCAGAGTTTAAATCCATTGCGTCTTTTGCATCTCTTGGTTCCAGACGTGGATGGGGCCAGCCCTGCATGGCCTGCCCCGGAGAGCGCTTTTATTAGTTTTATCTGTGGCTGGACAGCTTCCACTGCATCTTTTCTTGCTTTGGGCATTAAAACTTGGGTTGCTGTTGCGTAAAAGATTGCAGCTGCAGTTTGGCTTGGCTGAAAATGAGATGCAGCCTCTGGGCTGAAATTGAGGGTCCTGATTCTGCTTTGAGAGATGGTATGGCACCCTGAAAAGAACCGAGATTCGGAATCTGGGCTGGAATCCCAGCTGTGCCCCTCACAAGTTCTAGGATTCGTACCTTTTTCTTTTTCTGAAAAGTGGAGGTGATGCTTTTTCCTGGGGTGGGGGTGGGGTGTTGGCAGGGTTCTCCACCATGTAAGCTTGAGGGAGCAGGGTTTTGTCTTTTTCTGTACTGAAGCCCAGCTTCTAGAACAGTGCCTGGCCTGGAGTGAGCACTCAGCAAATACCTGCCTTAGAAAGGAGATTAAAAGATGTAGAGTTCCTGGCACACGATAGAATCTCATTAAGTGGTCACATTGCCATTGTCTGTACTCGACCAGGAATTGGCACACTATGGCCCACAGCCTGTTTTTGTAAATAAAGTTTTATTGGAACATAGCGATGTCCATTTCTTTACATATTGTCTGTGGCTGCTTTCCTGCTGTAGTGGGAGAGTGGAATCATGAGGCAGACCTGTGCCCTGCCGAGCCTAAAATATATACTGTCTGGCTCTTTACAGCAAAACTTTGTGGTTTCTGCTCTGAATGTCAGGGTGACCCTGTTTGAGAATGATCACGGATTTCATTTTCCCTTGTTTGTTAGTGTTGCGGTCAGTCACAGGTGAAAACAAGGAACCAGCTTGAGGTACGCATTCTTGATGCTCTTTCTAAGATATTTATGTAGGCTTTTCTTTTCCATTCCAATTCCACCACACTCTTTCGGCATGGTCAGAACTGGCTTCTTTGTGCCCTCCAGATCTCATATGTAAGATGGTGTTACTTTCATTTCTATGTAAAAAGAAACTCAACCCACCTGTCAATTGCTGGTATATTCATTAGGGATTAACCATGAGTCCTGCAACAAGTAGGCTCAGGGCACAGAGGACATGAGTTAAGATAAAAAAGAAAACCAACCAGGTGCAACTGTGCTTTGTAATATTATAGAATAGAATGCTGGTGGGGTACAGCAAGGAGTACACTGTGTTTGTGGGGCAGGGTACATAAGATTCTGATTTACTTTTCCATCATGGTGAATGGCATGATCTTAGACACCTTAGTTAGCTTTATTCAAACTCAGTTTTCCAATCTGTAAAATGGCAACATTCACTATATGTTGTCAATCTCTTTGATGGACAGGGCCCACAGTTAGGAGCCTCTCGAGACCCTGGTGTCTAAAGTGGTGAAGGAGAGCTTTCTGGAATGAGTGAACATGTGTCAGATGCTCTAAGGTCCTCATTAGAAGGGTGCCCTGTCCCCTGCACCAGCTGAGCAAGGCGGGTGGGCCACCATCCTGCTACCATTTTATAGTCAGTGGATCTTTTTTTTCTTTTTCTCTTTCTCTCCAGAAGGACAGAATAATGGGCTCCAGATTCGCAAGCCCCACCGAGAGGATCACCCCAGGAACCCTTGGAGACTGAGGAGTTCACTGAGGCTAGTGCATCTCGAGACTCAGGATGAAGACCCAACTTGGGGCTGTCAAAGGTGCAACCTGCCAGCTGAGACCTCCAAGGGTCGAGCCCGGGCCCCTTTGCCTTGTTCATGGCTTTGGCCAGTGCTTAGCATATAGTAAACAACTTGTAAATGTTTATGAGAGGATGTGTGGGGGGTCATCCCTTCGGAATGGCACACTGTCCATTATCATTGTCCTCAGAGGCTCCAGCCTCAGGTGCTTCTTAAACTTCGATGGGAATGATGGCAGCAGGTGGGTCCAGGGCTCAGCACGAGAGCTCACAGCAGGCTGTGCTCCACCCCACACAGGCCCCCAGTCTTGCCATGTTTCCTCTGCCTCACCAGGCTGGCATAGAAACTGCTTCCAACTGAAGCCAGCCAACCTGCCTGCCCCTAACCACACCTGCAACTCTAGGGTCACCGTTAGTCTAGATTAGGGGCCCTTAAACTGTAGCCTTTGCCAGGCATGGTGGCTCACGCCTGTAATCTCAGAACTTTAGGAGGCCGAGGCGGGTGGATCACTTGAGGTAGGAAGTTCGAGAGCAGCCTGGCCAACATGGCGAAACCCTGTCTCTACTAAAAATACAAAAATTCGCCAGACATGGTAGCGCACACCTGTAATCCCACCTACTTGGAAGACTGAGGCAAGAGAATCACTTGAACCTAGGAGGTGGAGGTTGCAGGGAGCTGAGATCACACCACTGAACTCCAGCCTGGGCAACAGAGTGAGACTCCCTCTCAAAACAAACAAACAAACAAACAAACAAAGAAACACTACAGCCTTTGGGCTAAATCTGGTCAGTGTTCTGTGCTTGTAAGAACTCTGAGTGAAGAACAATTTTTACGTCTCTCTAAAGGGTTGAAGAATACAAAAAGAATATTCAACAGAGACCATCTGGCTAGCAAAGCCTAAAATATTGACCCTCTGGTCCTTTACAGAAAAGGTGTGCCGGTCGCTGGACTGGGCAGTGCCGACCGCAACCTGGGCTCCCTGTGAACATTTCACCCACACACACTCATCTCCTTTCTCTTATCAACACTGAGGCAGGTGAGATTATCATTCCTTGTAAACATGGAGAAACTAAGGCACGGAGAGGTTTAACTCATTTACCTGAGAATCTATTAAGTAACAGAGCCAGGATTCCAACCCAGGCAGTCCAGCTTCAGAGTCCATACCTCCTAGCTGCACTCTGGGCCATCAGCGTAGGGATGAGCTTCAGACAAGAACTCCCCTCTTAGCTTCCGCCCTCTCCTGCCCCACAGCCAGTGAACAGGCATTTTGCACCCCAGCCTGCCCCAGCCAGCTCCTCCTCAGAGATTTCCTGCAGGGACTTAGACGGGGCTCTGGGACCACCCTCCTTTTCTGCCCCACCCGGCACCTGGAACTCTTCTTGATCCTGCTCCCTCTAAGGCTGGACACGTCTCCATGAGCCAGGCCTGAAGTTGTTCCCCTCTCTGGACCTCAGGACCTCCCTTCCTAGGAGCAGTTCCTGTATCCCCTATCCTCTCTGCCTTCCCCGCTTCCCACCATGTCCTTCCAATAAGGGGCTGGATTTGTAGTGTGCAGCCTTGGGAACAGGGTTGGGCTCAGGGATTGGGAGCAGAGGCCCAGGGCTCTGACTGACCCTCTGTCATCCCCAGGAGGAGAAGCTGCTGTATTTAGAGTGTCACAAAGAATAGTGTTGGAGGCTTCAGAAACCACGGGAGATTCTGAACTTCTAGGCTGAGCAGATGGGATGGTGCCTCTGTGATCAACAGGCCTGGCAGAGGGATGCAGGAGGGGGTGAGAATGGAAAGACAGCTGCCAAGGGGAACAGAGAGCTTTTCAAGTCACCGTTGTCCCCTCTCCACCTCACCATCAGGGCTAAGACTAAACCTAACCATCCGGTTGCAGCCCCTCGGCCCTGGGGATGGAGATTAGTGTGCATAGAATGAAGGTACAGAGGCCATGTTCTGGCTGTGTGACCTTGCACAGGTTGCATAACACTCTGTGCCTCACTTTACTCATTTTTAAAATGATGAAGATGATAACTACCTGGCAGGGTCTTATATTAGAGATAATACAGTTCCAAGCACTTTGTAAGCACTCGGTGTGAAATTGTCTTCTGCTGCTCCCCTTCATCAGTCCACCCCTCCTCTGCAGAGGTTTCCTCCATGCTGAGCAAGCTGGCAGTAACTAAGGCCCTGTGGGCGCATCCCTAGTGCCTTCTGCCCAGGCCTCGGGACCCCCAGGGATCCTGGCCCCTGTGGACAGGGACTTTTGTGCTCTCCTTCACTGTTACCAGCAAGAGTGAGTCCTGCACTGAATTTCCATGGGATCATTATTTGCTAACATTTGTGCGTGAGTTACTGTCTAGAAAGCAGCTTTTCTGGCCTTTTCCCATTAATTTCACGAAAGTTATCTTCCTTTGCCCTTACTGCAGTCCTGTGAGAGGTTCATTACCCCATTTTACAAACAGCTAATGCTTTGAGATGAAGTGACTCCCCTGGGGTCACCTAGCTAAGCAGTGGAGAGTGGGTCTCCCACCCGGCCCTCTCACTGTGACTCCTGTTCTCTGCGTCATTGCATATGACGACATGTGGGTCACGTTTTCACACATCCATGCTAGCTGATATGGAATGGTGAGCTTCTCCTGGGTCTTCCGAGGAAGGATGCTTTCAGGGGTGTTTTGGAATGAAGGCAGTGGAGACCAAGAGACCTCTAGGTCAAAGCCAGGCAGGAGGGTCCTCTCAGGGACCCAGCCAACAAGTTGCATTTCTCCCTCAGAGGCTTGAAGAGGCAGAACACCCGAGAGGAGTCTGGGGCCACCACCCAGCGTCACTGGGAAAACGGCAGCAGGAAATGTCCTCTCACCTGCGTGCTCCACCTCTGTCCACGCCTTTCCTCCTTCTGGAAGCCTTGCCTGACCACTGGCCTGCCCCTTCTATGGGAATCGCTGCTGACCTTGCAGCTCACTGTAGACTTATATGTATGCAGAAATATAATTTTAATTACTTTTGTATTGCTCCAAGAGTGATACCGAATCACAACAGAAAATTTAAATAAACAAACTAGCCAAATTAATACAAGCAATCACCCCAGTCAAATACACCCAGCTCACATTTTGATGTAAAATCTTCCAGTACATTTGCTATGTACATATATATTTTTAGGAAGGAGATTATATTTTACATGCTGTTTTCTAAAACGTTCTTTTAAAACTGTGTCATAAACATTTTTCCTTATAATTAGATCGTCCTCTACAACAAAATTTGCTAATGAATTTTTTTTTTTAATCATGGTCACTGTTGTGTTATGTACATCTTAGTTTAGCATCCTCAGTTACATTGTAAGCATTTTAAGGACTCAGTTTCCCCAGCCAGCCTCAGGATGGGTTTGTTCATTGATTGATGGCTGTGTGGGGTGGAGGAGGGAAGTAGAAAGTGAGTGAGATTTGGGTAAGCAAACCTGGGTTTAAATGCTGAGTTTGCAAATTCCATAAATTCTGCTTCCTTCCCTTCCTCCCTCCCTCCCTCCCTCCCTTCCTTCCTTCCTTCCTTCTTCCATCCTTCCTTCCTCGCTCCCTCCATTCTCCCTCCCTTCCTTCCCTCCTTGCTGAAACAAATGCCTTGTTAGATATTTTATATACTCATGTAAATATGCACTCATTTAAATATCATGTGGGCACCTCCTCTGAGTGGCCCTGAGCTTGGTTCTGGGGATGTGGCACCGCACAAGAGAAACCAGGTCTCTGCTCTCACGGAGCTTGATGCATCCAGTTGGGGGCACAGACCCAAATCAAGCCAACAGACAAAACCTAAGCAGGCCACTAACTTGTGTTTGAGTACAACATCCGCATGGACGGGAATGAGAATTACAGGGGACCACACTTGAACTGGGGTCCGGCAAAGCCCTCTCTGGGGAGGTGACAGTCAAGCCCAGACCTAAAGAAGCCTGCTGCAGGGAGGATGGAAAAGACGTTCTGACAAAGCCCTTGAGATCGGGAAGGCTTTGGCTTAGATGAGGAACTTCAGCTGGTCATCCCCTCTCTCATCCATCCTATTGAAACCACCTTTGCAAAAAGTATATCAGTGAGAAAATTATTTGCAAAAATTTTTCAAAAGGTGTATCAGTGAGAAAATTATAACAGCAAGCTAAGCTAACCCAACCTCCATCTTCCCTTTCCCTTAATTATTCCTGGGCTATTGGGTCAAGCTAACTTTAGAAGATATTTAGGCTACAGTTTAAATGATAATAGGCCTTGCCCAAAACTCAACCACTTTTGTAAAGCTAATAGGGGACCATCAGGGTGTGGGGAGAAGAGCCTAAATCCTACTAAGGTGCAGACATTATTCCGGAGGTTATAAGATATGCAACTTTCCCAATACAACACTACTATTATAGATAGGCCTTTTGAGATCTCTTTCCAGGTTTTTTGCATATTTGACGCCCATGGCTCCACCTGGACCTGATGGCTCCACCCAGAAGCAATTCAGCCCCACAGGAGGACAGCTTCAACCCATTACCATTTCCTCTCTGCCCCAACCAATCAGCAGCAAGCACCTGTTACCTGTCCACCCCGACCCCTTCCCCCAAACTGCCTTTGAAAAATCCCTAACCTATGAGCTTTGAACAAGATGATATGAGTACGAACTCCACCTCCCATGTGGCGTGGCTGGCCTCGTGTCTATTAAATTCTTTCTCTACTACAATGCTATGGTCTTTCTTTATGCAGTGGGCAGGAATAACCCCTTGGGTGGTAACAAATTTGGGGTCTCATGTGGGATTGTACTCTTGGCTACCTGTGCATGGTTCGGTAGCCCCTCGCTGGCAACGGACCTGGAGGCCAGCCCAAGCGGCTGCCTAGTTCTCCTGGCAGAGAGATGGGGGCTGACTCTGGCACCATCTCTAGCGGCGGAACACTGCTGACCACGGTGCATGGATGCAGTGGGCAGGAAGAATCCCTTGGGCAGTCACGCTATCTATCCAGTCCATCTGTCAAATGTATCCAGACTATGACCTCCTCTCATTTCTTGGTCAAAGCCACCATCATTCCTGCCTGGAATTTTTGCAACAACCCCTGGGTTGGTCTCCCAGCTTCTGCCTTTGCCTCTCAATCTGTCCTCAAAACAGCAGCCTGGGTGGTCCTTTGAAATGGCAGCCAGAGCACATAAGCCCATTTACTTCAAAACCCTCAAAGGGTTCCATCTAATTTGGAGTAAAAGCCACAGGCCTCACCATGGCCTGCGAGGCCCATGGGATGCAGCCCTGTGACGTCTCTGATCACGTCCTCTTCCTTTCCATCTCATTTCACCCTGGCATTCTGGTCCCTTTGTCATAACTCAGACCCTCCAGCCATAATTCTGCCTCAAGTTCTCTGCACCTGCTGTTTCCTCTGTAGCCTGTCTGTCCACTCCCTCATCCCTTCTCAGTCTTTGTTCAGGTATCTTCATTTCCATGTGGCCTTCCCTGGCCACCAAATTTAACACTCAAACTTCCCCACATCCCATGAAGCTCGCTATGCTCTTTGCTGGTTCTCTTTTCCTCCATTGTTCTTGGTGTCTCCTACTGGGTCCTACAGTTAATTGTTTGAGTTGATTTATTAGTTTCTCCTACTCCCCTGGAATAGAAACTTCAGGAAGGCAGGGAGTTTTGTCTTATCTCTTTCCAAGGAAAATATTTGTGACATGGTAGGCACTCCGTAAGTATTTGTAAAACAAATGACTGGACTCCCTTATACCAAAGATATACCAAAGGCAGACTGCACAGAAAACAAATCTTGACTTTAAGCACAAACTTTTTGATATACATATATATGTCCAAAGTTTCCTTTTTTTGTTGTTGCAGAGAAGTGCCCTTTCTGGTTTCCCCTGCTGCCCATTGGGATGCACTTAGGCAGCAACTGTGCAGTAAATGGGACACCTTTAGCCTCTGGTTTCCCAGAGCAGAGAGCTGTCAACACCAGAAGCTATTTTTGCCTCACCGCTGGTGCTCTGGAGTGGCAGGCCAGTCACAGGTGTGGTGCATCAGACTATGAAGAGGCAGCGTGGCCACAACTCCGTGCCGGGATGCTGACCTCTTTGAGGCAAACAGCATGAGCTGGAAAAAGTGTGTCTATCTCAGAGTTAAAAACTGGTGAATTCCCCCATTGCTCTTCAGCATCTCCTGGGTCCGTATGATCTGACTGCCACCCACTATCCCTTTTCCTCACTGGGCTCCAGACACACTGGCTTCCTTCCTTCCTGAAGCCTCCATCTGCTGCCGAGCTCAGGGCTTCGTCAGATGCTCACCCTGCCTGTGCTGCTTCCTGCAGCGTGCTGAATTGTGTCTCGTGAAAGATATGCTGAAGTTTGAACTTCCAGAACCTGTGAATGGGACCTTATGTGTAATAGAAATAGGGTCTTCACAGATGCAGTCAAGTTCAGATCAGGTCAGTCTGGATGAGGGTGGCCCCTAATCCACTGGCTGGTGTCCTGAGGACAGAGACACACAGTGGGGAGGCCTTGGGAAGGTGGAGGTAAAGGTGGGAATGATGCGTCTCCAAGCCAAGGAGCACCGAGGATCGCTGGCAACCACCAGACTCCATGACGAGGCAAAGAAAGGTTCTTCCCTACAGCCTGCAGAGGGAACACGGCCCTGCTGACACCTTGATTTCAGACTGCTAGTCTTCAGAGCTGTGGAAAAACACTTTTCTGTTATTTTAAGCTCCCCAATTTATAATATTCTGTCATGGCAGCCCCAGGAGACGAATACATTCCTTTCTCCTCCTTCAGCTCACACCTCTAGTGCCATCTCCTTGAAGAGATATTCTTTAACCCCCAGTCATTACTAGGTTCCCAAGTTCTACACCTTTTGCCCTGTAACCTATTCCCATGGGAGATTCTCTTTTGGTAGCCTCCCCCGACAGAGTGTAAGCCCCTTTGTGTTCAGGTTGCTCACTATGGGTCTTTAGTCTCTGAGGGCATCTTCAGCACACATTGTGTGAGCAATCAATTTTTGTTGAATGAATGCATTGCAATCTGGAGTGAGCCTTCTGGGCCTCAGAAGCATCTTGCTTTGATTCTGTCTGTGAGTTATAAGATCCCAGTCAGAAGGTTGCCCTGGGTGCTTCCCCTAGAAATCCTCAAAGTACAATTATTCAAATTGAGTCACTCAGCCCATGGTACCCTACGGTTACAGATGACACAAGAAACATGAGAACCTCTGAGGACTTTCCAAGCTGGGGTCTGTTCTTACTGTTTAGCATGAAATGTGTTTTCCTGCTAAGAACATGAACCAGAAATGAGTTTTACCAAGTGGTTAGCAAGACCTTAAATAGAAAGGAAACTCCAAAAAATGTAACTTCTCTCACACTTAAGCCTCCTTTTCAACTTCCCTTTCCTGCTTCCCATCACTAGAACCTCCAGATCTTATTTCCTTGGTTATGATGAATGGTGGCCCCTATTTCAGACCTCCCCGAATTCTGCTGAACTTCCCCTCTTTGGGTTTTAGACAGAGATGTGTGGTAAGTGCCTCTAGAACTGACATCTCCTGTGAGGCCCTTCTCTTACATGCTAGGTACGTTTGGCCTCTGATGGATTCAGAATGGTCTTTATTGAGCACCTACTAAGTGCTAACTTTTACACTAGGCAGTTTGACACTCTGTAACTTCTTTTTCATTTACTCTGTTCCAGAAACTTATGTTCACTATGATGTGATCTCGCTTTGGATCCATTTTACTGATGAGGAAATTGAAGCTCAGAGAGGTCAAGTAATTTGCCTAAGGTCACACAGTTAATAAATGGTAAAGCCATTTTCAATTCTACATCTGCTTGACTCCAAAGTTGGAGGTTTTTCTTTCCTAACTTTTACAACTAAAACCCCCCCCTAGCTAGAAATGGCAAGGGGCTTTATTGTAAGGATTTGGGCTGTGCCTGGGACTGCCTGGTGGTTATCCGGCAGCCTCATAGGAGGAGTTTAACTGTTGGATTTATGGACTTGGGACCGTTGGTATGTGCTTAGCACATGCCACAGACCTGGCAAGCATGCTGGCCTGGGGGTCACCGCTCTTGGGGCTGTGTTTTCTGATTAAGGGACATTAGGCTAGCCACTTCCCACATCCAGCTTCAGTTTCCCCAGCTATAAAATTAAGACATAGATACGCTTTCCACGCTGCCATCCTGCCCTGATAATCGGGGATTTTAGCATCCCAGGGCTATAATGACCCATACTTCTATACCCCTCAAACTCCTGCCTTTGGAATCTGGAGCCATGGCTTACATAAAAACTCCCAAGGCATCCATGCAGGTCCGTTCTGTCAGAGGCCCCAGCTTCTCTATCCCTTTTCCTCCCCTCAGTCGACATCCCCTCCTCTCCTGGAGTGAGTCCTGCTGGAGGACCTTGGGCAAGTTCCTTCACCTCTCTGAGCTTCCGTATCCTTCTGTTTAATGATCTCAAATGAATGTAACAACCCCACCTCATGGGCTCATTATGAGGGGGAGATGAAATGAAACAATAACCACTGTTTACCTTTCAGGCCCTGGCAGAAGTGCAGGCTCTGGAGCTGAGTGGATGGGTGCAAATCTTGGCCTTGCTGCTCCTCCCCGCCCAGGCCGTTTGGGCCTGGACCAGTTGCGTGTTGCTCCACACCTCCACATGCTCTCTTGTCAGGCAGAAACAGTACCGACATCCCCCCACGCCTGTTATGAGAGTTAAGTGAGTTGATATTTCTAAAACACATCAAACAGTGTGGGGCATTAGGTAGCCCCTAATGCCATTCATGCCAACAAGTGCTGCAGGAGAGTTAGCCATTATTCTTAGGTCAACTAATCATTCAATCAGCCTGCCAAAGGCGGTACTGTTATTAGCCCCATTTTATAAACAGGAAAGATCAGTAACTTGGCCAAAGGCAGAGGGGCAGGCCTTGAGCCCAGATTGATAAGACATTCTACGGGGAGGCACCTCACCTTCAGTTATGCTGACTGCTAGACATAAGAGGCCTCCCTACTTGGGGCTTAAAGGTTTGCAATGGTCACCTTGAAATTCTTGCAAATCTTAATCACTTTATCTTTGAGTTTGTGTTTTGTAAGTGAAGTTCTGCTTCTGCCACCTCCCCATCTGCCCAGATGTGCCCAAGACTGAAGAGGGTCAGAATCAATCCCATAATTGTGCCATGGGGCAGGGCTGTGGAGGTCTTCAAGGGGCTGTATTCACCCTGCAAGTATTCCTGTGCGAAAGAGAGTATGACATTAAATAGCAGATAAAAGCAAAACAAAACAAAACACGCCAGGATGGAGAGCTCAGAATAAAGAAAAAAGCTTTTTTTTTTTCTTCCTGTTTGAACAAGCATTTTCATTCTGCACCAGGTCTTGCTAATAAGGTAGCCAGATCTGGGTGCATAGCATGTCATGGGTGAGAATGAAACGATAGCACTCTTTCGCTTCAGTAAAAACCCTCAAAATACTTGTTGCAAGTTTAGTAATTCAGAGCAGTTTGTTCTGACTTTTGATTCACAGGTAGAGACGAAGTCTTTAGCTGAAAGGTAAGAGTTTTGCCACTTCCTACAAATATAGATATATTTTTTCCCTAAAACCTCCTAAGGCCTTTGTAAGATTTGCATCCAAAATATGGGCCCTTTGCCACTGACATTCCTGTTTGGTAGTGGATGAGAGGGAACTCTTATTTTTTTTCTTCTTCTGTTGTTATAATCCTCGGATGCAGTGTTCTCTTT